ATTTAACTGTTAATTCAGATCTCAATGAAGACAAAGAAAATGATTATCTCCATAAGAAATTTCCCTCATGCCCCTTCCTGACCATTCCCCATCCTCAACCTCGCGCAGAGGTGACTAACATTGTGATACTTTTACATTATAGCTTAGTTTCTTCCATCCTAGAATTTCATCTAGTATGTGCTCATTATAAAAGGCCTATTTTACTCGGCATGATACACTTGAGAGTCATCTGTGTGGCGTGCACTGGTTTTAGTCTCTATTGTGGAGTGTTTCATTGCATGAGTATATCATAGTTTATTCTCTTATTAATAGGCATGAGCTGTTTTCAGTTTTTTGCTATCATGAACAGAGCTTTCATCATCATTTTTCGTGAATTATTGTACCTACTTTGAGAAAATACTGTATGGCTATGATAGTGAACCTTTTAGAGTTTTCAATAATAACAAACAACCTGTTGCAGCACATGTGCCATAGGTTCACCACCAGCTGCAGTACTGGAGAACAGAGGTGAAGAACATAGTTGTTTTCCACTAGGTGGCCTGTGAACTAGATCATGGGTTAATAGTGGGTGGGTTCTTTTAGATGATATCAAGCCCTACCCTCCTCTTAGCCCAGCATACAGCAATGCCAATGTCATTGGCTGTAGCTCTTCCCAACTAATAAATTGCCCATTTGGAGCATCCCTGATTGCTTCAAAATCACTTTCAGTGTTTGATTTAACCTTCCAAATCTCAAGTGAGCTGATTTTTCTAATTGCCCACTGGCATCACCCTAGTGTGGCCTTCCACTTTATTTAGTCTGGACAAAGGTAGTAGGCACTTATTTGGCAGCTCCATTTCCATTCTTAGTTGTCCTCATTACTTTCCCATCACTGGGACAAATACTCAACACCCATGACAGAAAGGAGAAGAGCTTTGTTTTGACTCAGGTTTCAGTACATGGTTGGCTGTCTCTAATGCAGAAAAGGCATGGTTGAAAGACCTAGGTGGAGGACAGCTGTTCCTTCCACGGCAGCCAGGAAGCAGAGAGAGAAGGAAGGGACCAAGGAAGAGAATACAAAATTCTAGGTCATGTCCTCAGTGACCCATCCCCAACCAAGTTCCACCTCCTAACAGCACATTCAAGTACTGGATTCATCAGTAGCAGAATCCACTGATAAGTAGAGTAGCTCCATAATCCAATCACCTTTCATACACAGGAAAATTTGGAGGACATTTTAGATATAAACCATAACATTGGTTATCTACTGCGACAAAATTACTGTGTGATTTTATCCTTTGTAATTTTTAGAATATAATAAAGTAAAATTGACTTGGGGACATATAGTTCTATGAATTTTAACATTGCACTTGAATTTAATTTTTAACAGAAAAGTACGCATTGTTCATGGAACACTAGTCCAGCCTGTCTGATTCAGTTCTGTTTACTGTCTCTGAGTAATTATAAAATTATTTTGCAAGTCACAGGTAACTGACAGATATGAAACTCTTATTCATTACAGTTTTCATTGGCTTTCTTCTCTCTGTAGAAAAACCAGATTTTCCTCAGTTTACCCATATAACCATGTACTTTTTTCACTTTTACTTTGAACCAATTGTAACATCTATTTACATTCTTCATATGAGTAAAATAAATCTTTAAAGTTGTTCATTTTTATATCTGTGTAAAAGTATAATTTTACCATTATCTCAAAATGATATTTTATCCATTTTTTTTCATTGAATTTATGGTACTTTTTAATTATACAGTACAGTTACATTTATCATTGGGATCTTGTACCATTACATGACAAATCTTGGTTCTCATTTTTTCCCCATACCCTTGCAGTCCCTTCACCCCCTGCCTGCTCCCCTATTTACAAAGACTTTGTTTCCATTTTTTCCTCATCTCATATTTTTTTCTTTTCCCTTATTTCCTTTCTCCTCCCCTTCCCACTTCCCCTACATCTTCAGCTCTTTTCTTCCTATTTCACATTATCAGTTATACAGTTTGGATCTTGTACTTACACTTTTAGTTTTTCACACCAGAGAAAGTATTTACACACGTGTGTCTTATTTATTTCACTTAAGAGTATGGCCTCAATATGTATCCATTTTTTATAATAAAATAAAAATGTTTTTTGGTATCATAAAATTGTCCTCTTGAAGTGTACAATTCAATGGTTTTCAGTATATTCATAAAGTGCAGTGTCAGGACTTAGAAAATGATATCCCAAAATGTGGCTGATTGGCATATTTGAGTATTTTATTTTAAGCTGAATTCAAATGAGAAGCCACAGAAACAGGAAGGTTTCTCTGTCCTTTTCCTGCCCCTCTCTTCGGAAGAGGGCCATAGATACTCTTCCTCTCTTTGTTTCTTCTTCCCTGACACAGGCCATAAAACCCATGAAGATCACTCTGGGCTTCCTCCTCCCTGAAGATCTGCATGTGACACCAATCCACCCAACACCCATAAGAAAGGAAATGTTCTTATCTCTAAAAACAGAGATACAGAGGAGAATCTGGGAAAAAAAAGCCTTGCTGAAGTTCTACTCAGTTTATGACCACAAGACCATACATCTTTTTGTTTAGTCATATTCCTTAACAAGAACCCACTACATCAAATTTAGCATAAAAATAGTTTTCCCTGGGTCTTTAGGTTCTAACTTCTGAAGGATCCTGTTCCATGTCAAATTTATTAAAGAAATGCACGTGCTTTTCTTCTGTTAATCTATTTCTCTCAGTTTTATTTTTAGGTCCAGCAAGCAACCCTAAGAAGGTTGAAGAAAACTTCTTCATGACAGCAGCAGTCATCACTGATTCCAGAAGGTCAAAGATTTGTGACTTACCTTTGAGATGCATCGAAGTTTGTGCATTTATCAGTAGTTTCTTTTTCTTGCTGAGTAATATTCCATTGGATAAATGTAGCACAGTTTGTTTATCTCATACTGAAGGATATTTGGGCAGTTTCTAGTTTTCAGAGCCTATGAATAGGGCTGCTGGAAACATTCACACACGTGACATTTTACGTATTGTTACTTAACACCATTTGTTTTTAAGTTATTTGTTGTTATTGTTAGTTTTGTTTTTTTCTTCAGTGCTAGGAATTTCAGGGCCTAAAGGATGCTAGGCAAGTGCTCTACCACTGAACTACATCCCCAGACCTATTATTGTTTGTTTTTAAATATCAGTGGTTGTTTAGATTTATACATATATTAATTTCTTCACTGCTTCAAATTGTGCTTTCCTAAATTAAAGTCAGTCATATCTACTAGCCATAAGCTTTTCTGCGGTGTGACTTTGCCACTCTCATATCAACAAATATAGCCTATCTTTCCCAACTTGAATTTGGAATGGTCTCTTCATAGAATATGGTATAAGATATATTGTGTAAGTTCTGAGGGTAAGTCATAAAAGGCAGCACAGTTTCTACCTAGTTGCCTTAGAAGGCCCACTGTCTGGACATACCCACAAAGAGGCCATCTGAGTAGGCTACAGCTGACAGTGTCGGTTAAGCAAAGTGAGGTCATCCCGGTTCACATGCTAGATATGAGGACAGATGCTGCTAAGTTGTGTCCTAACCTTGCCCATTGGAGTCATGCTCAGCTATTCAAGACATTCTAGCTAAAGCCTCAGATATCATATAATAAAGAGAAATCATTCGTGATGCACATACAGGTTTCTGTGTTTTCCTTTGAGCGTATTTTTAGGCCTACATTTAAATAAACAAAATCTCACAACGAATTGAGCTTAAAAGCCTAAGTGACTTTTATTAGCTTTTCCTGAACCACAGAACATGTTATCTAGGAAATAAGTGCTCTGCTGAGTGTGGCAGAAATGTTGGGTTTATTTATTTATTTTTTGTAAGACAGCTTGAGCAGGAAAACATAATAATGCAAAAAGTAGATTGGTAACAGCAGGTAACTTTTGTTATAGGGCTAAAGCAGAGGGAGTTTCTTGTCCTTCTAGCTCAGATTAACTGGGCCAGTTTGAATTGGTTTCTGTGAAAGCCTTAGTTTTGTTCAACTGCTATGGTTTTAAAATTTTTTTGACTGCATGGCTCCTACCATGTCACCCTCTGATTTGGTCTGGTCTGTTGGGCCTAGTGCAGATGCTCAGTCCAAATAATAGCCTCCCTCGAGCTTTATTTAAAAAGTAGGATTACTTATTCATATTGTAGGCATGTATTTTATTTTGTAAGAAACTGTCAAACTGTCCTCTAGAGTGGCTGTATGGTTTTGCATTTCCATCACTAATATATGAGAGTTCCTATTATTTACAATCTTCATCAACACTTGGGGCAGTCATTTTTTATTTTATTCATTCTGATAGTTATGTAGTGGTTTCTCATTGAAACTTTAATTTGCATTTTCCTAGTGGAAAGTGAGGCTGAAAATATTTTCATTAGTTTATTTGCCATCCATGTATTCTCTTTAGTAATATGTCTGTTAAAATCATTATCCATTTCTCTTTTTTTCACCATGGCTGCCACCGGGGCCCTCACTTCCGGTGCTAACGTCACTAGAGCTGCGCCATCCCGTCAGTTGGGCGACCACAGCCTAAAATTGACTTTTCGATGGCTCTACGACCCCTCTGCTCTTCACGAGGTGCTGTATTGGAGCGAACGGTGAATACCTTCGCATTAAAACAGATCTACTCTGGTTCCTTCACTCCAGAAACATAAAACGCGATAGAGCTGGTACCCGTTGCAGGGTCAAAATGGAGCCGAGAAGCAGTTTTAGCGCAGGCGCTTTGGAAGGACCCTGCCCCTCCCCCTTGCAAGCCCCTGGCTGAGGTTCTGGGTTCTGTTTCTATGGGACACTCCATAGCCAATCCTCGTGCTGGACAGTGCTTACTGACCCTTCAGTGCACCAATCAGTGCTCAGTCCAGCACATCTGGAGTCGTCTCCACCAATGATGCCTCAGGATTTGCTTACTCAATCCACGATTCTCTAATAATGTTATTCTTCGTTCTAGAGACGGAGAAGAGAACTCTTGGAGCTGGAGCCCCCACAGATCACTGGTGAAAATGAAGGCGGACGACAAGCCTGCCTACCTGACTGTGGGCACGGAAGTCAGTGCCAAGTTCAGGGGTGCCTTCTGCGAGGCGAAGATCAAGACCGTGAAAAGGCTGGTGAAAGTCAAGGTACTCCTGAAACAGGATAATACAACACAGTTTGTGCAAGATGACCAAGTCAAGGGTCCTTTAAGAGTTGGAGCAGTTGTTGAAACCAGGACGCCTGATGGATCCTTTCAGGAAGCTGTTATCAGCAAGTTGACCGATGCTAGCTGGTATACTGTGGTGTTTGATGATGGTGATGAGCTAACCCTGACACGAAGCTCTCTCTGCCCGAAAGGGGAGAGGCACTTTGCAGAGAGCGCGACACTTAATTACTTTCCATTAATAAATCCAGAGGAATTCGGAAAACCAGTAATTGCAAAGAAGACAGACCAGGGAAGGAAGTCCTCACTTTCTGTTAACGAAGATGAGAAGGAAGAAAAAAGTAGTGAAGAGGAAGATAAGCAGCGTCTCAATGATGAGTTTTTAGGAAAAGTTGTGACAGTGGTTTCTATGCCTGAGACGACTGAATGGTACCCTGCTTTGGTAGTATCTCCCAGCTGCAATGATGACATCCCAGTGAAAAAGGATCAGTGTTTAGTTCGATCATTTATTGATTCTAAATTTTATGCTATAGCGAGGAAGGATATTAAAGAAGTAGACATTCTCAATCTGCCAGAATCTGAGCTCTCCACTAAACCAGGGCTGCAGAAAGCAAGTATCTTCTTAAAAGCTAGAGTTCTTCCTGACAATTGGAAAATGGATCTAAGTGAAATCCTGCAGTCATCCAGTAGTGATGATGAAGATGTCCCAGATAAAGAAAAGGAAAAGGAAACCAAAAAGGAAGAGAAGGTGCCTAAAGAACTTGATCCTAAAGAGAGGGACAACTTCCTCCAGCAGCTTTATAAGTTTATGGAAGACAGAGGTACTCCAATTAACAGACCACCTGTTTTGGGCTATAAAGATATCAATTTCTTCAAACTTTTTAGACTGGTTTACCTTCAGGGTGGAGGTGACCATATTGATAGTAGTGCTGTATGGAAGCAAATTTATATGGACCTTGGCCTTCCAATTTTGAGTTCATGTGCTTCCTACAATGTAAAAACTGCTTATAGAAAGTATCTCTATGGTTTTGAAGAGTACTGCCATTCTGCAAATATTCGATTTAGAACCATTCAGCACCATAAACCAAAAACTGAAGAAGAGACAACAGAAGACAAATTAAAAGATAATGATTTAGAACATAAGGATGTAGATGTTGACTGTGAAACCACAGAGAAAGACGAAAACAGGCTAGTACTGGGGAGAAAAAATACACCAAAGCCTAAAGAGAAGAAAGTCAGAAAGCAAGAGGGCACCGACCGAGACTCAGAGGGAGAGGGAGAAGAAGAAAAGAGCCAAGAGAGGGAAGAAACTGAGAGGGAATGTGACTCTGAAGGGGAAGAAGATGAAGAAGACACGGAACCCTGTCTAATAGGAACCAAAGTGCAAGTGAAATATGTACAAGGGAAAACTCAGAATATCTACGAAGCCAGAATTAAAAGCACTGAGATCAATGATGGAGAAGTTTTATACTTGATACATTATTATGGATGGAATGTCAGGTATGACGAGTGGGTGAAGGCTGACAGGATTATCTGGCCTTTGGACAAAGGTGGACCAAAGAAAAAACAAAACAAGAAAGCTGAGAATAAAGAAGATAGTGAAAAGGACAGGAAGAGAGAGGAAGAGAGGCAGATGAAGCAGGGGCGGCCCTCTCTGCAATCCAGCCTGCCCTCCGGCTCTCTCTTTGGCCTGCCCAAAGCAGCCCATGGTGAAGCCAAATCGGACTCTTGTTCTTCTCATAGTGAAACAGAAGACCCTCTAGAAAAGAGTTTGATAAATGAGGAACTTTTCCCTGATAGTAAAGAAGAATTAGAAAAAAATGAAAATTTTAATAATGACACACTACATGAAGAAAACCCAAAGATAGCTGGATATGTGCTAAAAGACAATGATAGAACAGCAGCACAGCCTTTAGAAACCCTGCTGCTGGAAGGTGGAGAGAACGAACAAAATGTGCAGCTTTTTGGAAACCAAGGGGAGAAAGTTAAGAAGGAGGCAGAAAAATCTCCAAAAGGCAAGGGAAGTGGAAGCAAAACAAAAGATATTTCTTTAGAAATGATAAAGATTTCGTCATTTGGCCAGGCTGACACCGGAAGTGAGCCTCAGGTGGACGCTCATAGCCTCGAATTTTCTTCATTAGACAGTAAAAACTTCGTTGCTGCTGGAGATGAAATCTACCCATATGGGAAAGAAAGGAAGTTGAAATGGAAGATACCAGGACAGTGGTCAGAGGAGAAGTTAAGAATGGAGAATGGCATGCGCATGAAGAACAGTGTTTCTCAGGACAGGACCGGTGACTGTATTGCATCCGAGGAGACAAAGAGTTTGCAGTTGGAGCCAGAGAATGAAGGAATGCTGTCCGAGGCCAGCCAGTGCGGCTGGAAGTTGGCCTATGAGGAGCTCAAGTGTCCCGCGGAAGAGACTGCCAGCGCACCCATCAAGGAGGAGGAGGACGCCATGCCGCTGATCGGACCAGAGACCCTATACTGCTACGAGGTGGACCTGGACGACTTGGATGAGGAGGACAAGCCCGGCGCAAAGGACGCGGCCATGGAGAACTCTGAGGCCAGCTCTCTGGTCTCCATGCCCCCCGCCGTCGCTCCCGCAGGCCCCCACAGCTCCTCCGCGGCATTGCCCCTGGGCCTGAGTCAGGACGAGTCCCAGAGAGTGCGGAGTGAGAGCTACCCCACCATTGGGGTGGATGGCACTGCTGAGGGGTCCCTCGAGGGGCCCTGCGAGTGCAAGCGGCCCACGGCCAGTAGATTCGACGCTGGCGCAGGCCCCGCTGCCTGCAGTTTAATTGCACAAGAGAGAAAAAGCAGAGAGAAGGATAAAAAAAGGCCAAGGGATGGAGATGGTGGATTAAAGGCAAAAAAACAAAAGCGAACCCCAAAAAGGTCAAGGGCTGTAGCCAAAAATGAAAAGAATAGAGCAATAAAGAGCAGTGATAGTGAAGCTCTTCCTGCTGTAAACAACTCAAGTAAATGTACTCCAGTAAAGCGTCTTAGTGTATCTAAGCCACCAAAGCATGCACAGTCTCCTGCCAGAATCTCTCCTCACATCAAAGACAGAAAGAAAGAGAAGCAAAGAGAAAAGCATCCCATTTCCTCCCCCAGGACGTATAAGTGGAGCCTTCAACCTAATGAATTAGATAACATGAACAGCGCAGAGAGAATCTCTTTTCTCCAAAAAAAAATACAGGAAATCAGAGAACGCTACATGTCTCTGAAGTCTGAAGTTGCAAGCATAGACAGGCGCAGAAAAATGTTAAAAAGGAAAGAAAGAGAAGTGGCTCACGCGGGAGCCTCCAGGTCATCAGCTTGGTCAGACACCGGAATAAGTCCCTCATCATCATCCCCCCACAAAATGTCCTTGATGTAGAATGCAGGAGGGTATTTCAGCGACCCCACCAGTGCAAGGGACATCTGTCTCCATCCTTCGAACAGAACAGAACTGTAAATGGGCATGTGGATCATTAAAGTAGGTCCTTACCTAGAAACTTTGGCAGTCCTAGTATTTAAACTTTTGAAGATCAAAGTTTGCGTTGCCCTTAAAATGCTTTGTTACCGTTTTTATGTTTGCTATACTGCCAAATAAATTTATATGTCCCAAAGTTGAGATGTATCAACTGAGTAAAGCAATTATGTATGCTTTGTGTGTGAATTGTTCCACAGACTGATACATCTTGTAAATAATTCTTCCAAAATCATATATTTAAAGCAGTTTTGCATAAATATTATGTAAAAAGGTGATTTTTAAGAGCAATTTTTAAATTCATGTTTATACATTGAGAGGGTTTTTTAAACCTCCTTTTCTGTGTTTCATATGCTGTAATTACCTAGATGCTCTAGACTGTGTATCCGGATTTGATTTACTAGAACAAGGAACTAACCCAATGACGGCGCTTAGCATTGCTGATGCCATTGTTTCTTAATTTCATTTTACCGTATTGTGAATTTGTGATTCAGACTCCTTCCATCTTCTCAGAGAATCAAAAACAAAAAAGTACCCCTGTAAAAAAATCATTACCCATTTCTATAAGGATCGATATGGATGATAGATATTGGGAGGCAAGAAAAAAATGTTCAAATGGAAAGGGGAATATGGAAGAGAAGAAGGAAGGGAAAAAGGGAAAAGGAAAAAAGAGAGTAGAAGAAAAATGGAAACACAGCTTTTGTAAATGAGGGGAATAAGGGTTGAAAGATGGGGAGGGGAATGGGGAAAAAAAGAAGAATCAAGATATATCATGAAAAGGTACAAATTCCCTATGATGGATGTGCTCTTTATGCATATCAAAATTATACCACTAAATTAATTTTTAAAAAGATTATTACCCATTTTAATTGGTGGTTTCAGACTGACTTTTAAAAATTTAAATCTGATAATGTTCCACATTTCCCCTTACTCCAGCATTGACACATTTCTCTTTTAGTTTTTCTTTTGGATGAACATTCACTGAGTTTTGACAAATGCATACACATGGAAATTTAGCCCATATAAAATGACATAACATGATAATCACCCAGAAAGTCCCTTCCGTCCCCTCTTTCCAGTTATTTCTTTTTCTCAATGACCCCAAATTTAATCAGTGTTCAGAATTTTTTCACCATAGATTGGGCCTGATTTAGAAATTTATATAAATGGAATGATATAAAATGTATTCTTTTGCATAAGGCTCCTTAGCATAATGATTTTGAGTTTCTTCTATCTAGCATGTATTAGTAGTTTATTTCTTTCTGTTGCTAAGTACCTTTCCATTATTGACTGTTTATCCATTATTTATTGATGAACACCTAGGCTGTTTCCAATTTGAGGTATTATAAATAAGCTGCTATGAATATTAGAAGTAGGTATTTTTCTTGTATGAATACCTGGTGATTGAATAGCTTGATCATAAATGCATTTGTAACTTAATTAAAAACTGTCATATATTTCCCAAAGTGTAGAGAAGTACTTCTATCATCCAAGATGCCCCAAGTGTCTTTGACTCACAGGTTTCTCAAGCACAGAAGAGGTCTTTATTGTGGAGATGGAATGTTTTCTACTCCCTTCCTGGAAGTGAACTGATTCAAGAATATGTTTCCTTCTCCTAGCAGCTCTGCTCTCACAGCTGTCAGCCCTGATCAGGGGGAGACAAGGATGTTTACTTATAATGTTTCTGACAGTTCTGTGCACAGAGCCCAGTGTCTGCTGCTCAACAGCTGAGCTTAGCCTGAAGCTGCCATGTTGAAGACTCACCTTGCAATATCTGACTCTTCTCGTACACCCATTTAAGTGTACAATTCAACAGTTTTTTAGTACATTCATAGAATTGTAAATAATCATCACAGTCCATTTTAGAATATTTTCATCATTTCCAAAAGAAGTATCATATCAGTTAAAAGTTACTTCCTGTTTCCCCCAACACCTAGCCTCTGGCAACCACTAATCTATATTCTGTCTCTATAGATTTTCCTATTGTGAATATATCATAAAAATGGACTCACACAATATGCAACTTTTATGTCTGGCTTCCTTCACTTGACTAATATTTTCATGGTTCATCCATAGTACAGCATGTATCAGTCCTTGATTTCCTTTTAGGGCTGCATAATATTCTGATGTATGATTATACATCATTTTATTCATTCATTTATTTATTGGTGAGCATTTGAATTATTTCCAAGTTTTAGCTATTATGAATAATGTTTGTATATGCATATGTAGGGCTGGGGATTTAGCTCAGTGGCACTGCACCTGCCTCACAGGCTCAATGTCCTGAGTTCAATCCCTGGTACCAAAAATATCAGTAAAATAAAAATACACATGCATACAAGTTTGTGATATATCTTGGGCATGCACCTAGTAGTATAATTGCTGGATCATATGGTAACTATGTTTAATCATTTGAAGAACTGCTTGACTGCTTTCCAAAGTGAACAAACACATCATTCCTATCAGCACTATGCAAGAATTCCAATTTCTCCACATTCTTGAACAGTACATTTTATAATCTGTCTTCTGTACTCTTCCATGCCAGTGAGTGTTAAATGTTATCTCACTTTGATTTTGATTTGAATATCCCCAATGACTAATAATGCTAAGTATCTTTTCATGCTTATTAACCTTTTGCATATGTTCTTTAGAGAAATGCCTGTTTATATCATTTGTATAGTTTAAAAATTGGTTAAAGTTTTGAATTGCAAGAGTCTTTATATATTCATGTCACCAGTGTCATATTAGCTATATGACTTACCAATGTATTCTCTTATTCTGTGAGTTGTGCTCTCATTTCTTGTGATATCATTTGAAATACGAATCTTTTTAATTGTGATGACAACTAGGGCATGTATTTTTTCCTTTTGTCACATATACATCTTATGTGGTATGAAAGTAAATTTACCTTAACCCCGTGTTGTAAAGACTTTCCAGGCCCTTTTCTGCATGGACTGGACATACAAATGTTTTACAACATCTACCATTTGCTTGTTGCTTGTTTTGAAGTTGACCTTATGCCATATTCTATCTAGAGGGTATGGTGTCAATAACAGCAATAATAGTAGCTAAAGTTACAATTATTTACTTATTTACTTGCTTGTAATATTATCTAGACAAAAAAATCAACAAAAAATTGGAGTTAAACTATAAAGTAGATCAAATGGATGCAATAGGCATTTACAGAAGATTTCAACCAATAGTGGAAAAATATACAGTGGCACCTTGGTTCACAAACTGAATTCATTCCACAATTCTGGAATAGATGGCCACATTGGTTTTTTGTGTGGGAAGATGGTTGCAGTCATGTTTATCACCAATTGCAGAATTTGCAAACAAAAACAAAATTTTACCAAATGCTTCTGTTTGTAAACCAAAGTGTTCTCAAAGAAAAGTGTTATAAATCAAGTTACCACTGTACATTCTTCTCATCTGCATAAGGAACAGCCTTGGATACACTATACATATTAGGCTACAAAATGAATCTCAAGAGCAAAATAAGAGATAGATAATAAAAAATAAGGAGATAGATCTTTTGCAAAAAGGAAGGGGACCAAGAGATGGAAAAATGGGGGAGGGAAGGAGGAGGAAGGGGATGAAAAAGAATTAAAATGTTTTAGGTACCTGTTCCAGTTCCCCATGAAAAATGTATCTTAATGTGCTGCAAACCTATACCAATAAAAATTAAAATTAACAATAAAAATCAAAATCATACTATATCTTCTTTGACCACAAAGGGATAAAACTAGAAATCATGAGGAACTAAAGAAATTATGTAAATACAATAAAACCTTGGTGGGAGCATAATTCACTCTGGAACTTGCTTGTTATACAAAGCACTGCTATGTAAAAGTGAATTTCCCCATAAGAAATAATAAAAACTCAGATGATTAATTTCACAACCCAAAAATGTTCATTAAAATGATTATAACACTATAATGTAATACAAAGTAATAAAGAGAATACAAAATATAAAGAAAAATAAACAAAATAACTGGTATTTACCTTTGAAAACCTTTGTGGTTGGTATTAGGGAAACAAGAGAAAGGAGGGTTATTGTGTCGGATGACTTTCACTATCACTGCTGTCTAATGGTTCAATGGAATCTTTTTCTTTTTGTACAACTTGAGCAAGGAACTCATCCAATAACACTTGCTTTTACCCCCTTTTGAAAATTTTATGGAAATGTGACATTGCATTTTCATTAAACAGGTTCATTTCTCGCAATGCTACAGCCTTAGCCAGATGTTGCTTTTCTACAAAATTTTGCACCATTTCCCACATTTTACACATCTTCCTAATCTCATTTGAAATGAAGGATTCCTCCACCTTTTTTGTCCCCTCTGTCTCTGCAGAAAAGATCTCCGTAACATCTTGATGTTGGGTGACAATCACTCACAATCCCACAGTGACAGAGTGATAGAGATGGAGATAGATAGAGATGGGGGTACCATTGGCTCAGTTGTGATCATATGATGTTTAGTGTCACACACTGCTCATTTTACAAAACACTCATTTATCAAGTTAAAATTTATGAGAAATATTTGCTAGTCTTGCAGAACACTTGTAGAACAAGTTACCCGCAATCCAAGATTTTACTTTATATGGGAAACAAAGAAAATGCTTCCTAGTGATCTGTGGGTCAAAAAAGAAATCAAAAGGGAACTTTAATTTTTTTTGACAAAAAATGGAGACACAACATGCCAGAACATATGTGCTCTGAGTAGAGTATAGTTTGATTGTGTCCTTGAGGAGTTCATATGTCAGAAGCTTGATCCTCAATGTGGCAATACTGGGAAGTGGTAGAGCTATCAAGAAGCAGGACCTAGTGGAAGGTGATTATGTCATTGCTGTGCCACCCTCAGAAATGAATAATGCTGTTAGTGGGGTAACTTAATTCTCATGAAAGTAAATTGTTACAAACGAAGAGCAAATCTAGCCCCTGAAGCTCTCTCTGGAATATTTGT